AATCATTATGACCTAAAACTGACACACATACACACCAACCCCTCCCAAACCTATATGCAGCCAAATTCTCACCTTCAGCGCCTTAGCAACCATAAGGACACATTAACACTGAAGGGACAAAACACACACACACACACACCGAAACACACACCGATTGTGATTAAATAAATACACAGCTGGTCGAGGAGGTTGCGTGCCTGTCAGGAAAGAAATTAGCAATTCAGTGGTCTACTTTATGCTTAAAGAGAGACACGGACACACACACACGCACACACACACACAGAGCAGCATCTGAATTCCTTCAGCGTGAACCACTCTTCTCTTTTCCTCTCATCCTCCATCCCCTTAATGCTAAATGCTTAAAAAGCATTCATAAGCCAGCTACTCGAGGGGGAAACGCTGGCAAGCATCGGATGGTGAAAAACTACCGTATCCCGAATCAGCCAGAGCCCACCGACAGGACAACTCTCCTCCTGTTATTTATTTGCTTTCGGTTAACCGTGCTCCACACAGTCGCTGGTTCAGCACCAGCCTCGGTGTTTTCGGGACGGGCTAAAGGAGAGGGAAAGCCCCGCCGCTATCTCTGCCCTCCTCTATCCCTCCGTCCCTTCCTAGCCTCGCATGAAACCCGAAGAGCGGGACTCCGGCACCTTAAATAAAAACCGTTATTTCTCTCTTACCTTCCGGCTTGTTTTCGGCAGCCATTTCCCCTCCGCCGCGCGCCTCATCCCTCCTCCTCCTCCTCTTCCTCCTCCTCCTCCTCCTCGACTCGACCTAGTGGTAGTGGGAGGGGGGTGGTGGTGATGGTGGTGGTGCCGGTGAGGGAGGTGGGGGGGGAGGACCACGCGCGTGCACAAGGAGGACAGCTCAAGGAGGGGGGCGGGGCTGAGAAGAAGGGGTGGGGAGGGTGAGCCTGCCGCGTTCAGCGCGGCTATTGGTCCAAACAGAGAGGACTGACAGCGGGGATCCGTGATGGTGACTCGCGGAATTCACCATCCCTCCGCTTGTTCCCCTTGACCACGCCCCCTCCTCGCCGTTCACGCGCACTCTTTCTCTCTCTCTCTCTCCCTCTTACCCCTCTCACGTCACTGAACGACGTCTGTATTCGAGGACACCTTGACAGCCTCCCACAGCATCATCATCATGCTCATCATCATCTTCTCTCCCTCACACACACACGCGCGCACACACACTCGCACGCGCACAACAGGCCTACACACATATACGTTACGCGCGCACAGAAACTCTCGCTAGCGAGCGCGCGCTCATTTCTTCACACGCAAACCCAGTGGACTGTTGAGAAAATGCGATGTAAGGTCGCGTCTCGCCATAAATTATGAACCCCTCTTGAATCTAAATGAAATTAACTGCCTGAAAGAGAGTTTTTTTGACGCGCGTGGGCTGGCTGGTGCTGTCATTCGCCGTGGTGCTGAAGCTCGCGGTGCTGAAAGGACAGCTCCACACGCGCCTACACAGAGCTGCGTGCACTCACTACCTGCTTTCTTTGAGCCATGTTATTAAATGGGAGCCATGGCAGGTCAGATGAAAACTTGTGGGGTGGAAGGGAAAAAAAACATGCCCTCCTCCATACTCGTCCTCCTGCTCAGCGTGCGGGATGAAATGTCGCTGCTGATATCTTTGCGTAAAGTTTAGTTTATAACGAGCCTATCACAATATCCTCACTGACAGGCTATTTATAATTCTGCCGTTTTATGCGATGCTATCCTTTTCTAAATAGTAGGGCTTAACTGGGATCATTATGTTCTCGTTTCCAGCCCACACTGTCACTCTGTGCCTCGGGGTAGAATATCGCCTTTGCACCAAAGCCTTGTGTTTGACAGAGACAATCCTCTCCACAGACACGCTTCACGGAAAACAGAGGTTTTGAATGGTTCGTCCTCGGCTACGTGTGCTTTGCGCAGCCTCGGGGTGCAGAGACACTCTAGGTACTCGAGATCAGCGGAATTCAGAGATGGTGAACGACAACGACAAACGTGTAGCGGTGTAATAAGAAAGAAAGCAAATGTTTAATGTTGCATTTATGTTATTTATGTCAGGGTGGAGCTCACTGTTCATACCAACACAGTATGGCACTTTCTATTCAGCCAAAGATGAGATTACTTTTTAATCAAAAAACATATAGTACTTCATGAGTACTGGATACATGAGTAATCACTGGCACTTGTCCAGTGTTATGGTGAAGAACAGGGGTGTCAAACATATGGCCTGGGGCCTGGAAGCGGCCCACTAGAGGGTCCAATTGGCCCACTGGATGACTTTGCAAAGTGTGATCAAGTCATTATTAACTCATTATTATACAAGAGTGAAAATGTACAGAAAATAACAAATGTTAGATCCCGGTAGGTTGTTTGGATCATAAAGACATAAAACACTCACAAAAAACTTTTATTTCCCCACAAAAACTCCACATGTGGAGGTTTTGTGAGTTTATAGCCTCACAATGATCTTTACATTGTAATGCACATGCAATGACGGTGTAATGACCATGTCAGACTTACTTTTCTTAAGAAATTTCAGACTTTTCACCTTTTTTGTAAAGCAATGGCTGGTTAAATGCGACTTTTAGAAAGAAATGTTTTCAAAGTGTTTTGTAGAGAAATTAACTGGGGTGTTTGTTTTTTCATATGTTATTATGCAAAGGTTTTGGTAGTCCCAGCCTACTTAAGATCAAACTGGGCTGACATGAAGTAAAATGAATTTGTCAGCCCTGGTTTAGAGAGTGAATCACATGATGGTCTTAGGTTTTTTTCATGTAATATCACCTGTTTCATGTTAATATATACTCACTTATTAACATGAGCTAATCCAGGGGGTAAATGTTTTATATATGTTTTAATTGGTGTGTGGAAGTGTATACGCACTTCTATAAATGAGATGAGAAATAGGTTATCCCATATTTGGGAAATTCTTTTATTGCAACAGTTGAAATTCACAGGGCAAGAGGTGGGGTACAGCCAGAACAGGTAGCCAGTCTGTTACATGGCCAGTTGATCAATAATAATAATAATAATAATAATAATAATAATAATAATAATAATGATGTGTGGTCTTTCTGGCAGCTGAATCATTCGGTTAAGGATGTTGCTCTGTTGCCTGTCTAGTGAGTGGTGCAGAGGGTGGTTAGGGTTTTTCTGTGATTTTAGCTTCAAAAATATTCCGGGTTGCAGACAATAACAGAGCCAGCTTTCCTAAACAATTATACAGTCTATCCGTGTCACCAGCTCTGATGCTTCTCATCCCGCAGCAGCACGCTGTGCTCACCACAACTGAGTGAGAAAAAACTCCAAGATTTTGCTGCACACATTGAAGGATCTCAGCTTCCTTAGCAAAACAGAGCCTGAACAGTCTGTGTTGACTTTCCATTTGAGCTTTTTGTCAATGCAGGTGCCCAGGTACTTGTACTCCTCCACATTAACATCCTGTCCCACACGGGTCGTGTAACTGTCTGTTTCCTTCTTAAATTGATCACCATCTCTCTTCTCAGCTATTAACATTCAGAAACAGAGGATTCCTGTTAGACCACTCTACAAAACCGTCCACTAGCGCTCTGCAAACCTCGTCCTGCCCATCACTAATACATCCAACCACTGCAGAACTGTCAGAGTATTTCTGTAGGTGGCATGACCTGGAGTTGTGCTGAGAGTCTGAGGTGTACAAGGTGAACAGGAATGAAGACAGCACTGTCCCCTGTGGAGCTCCTGTACCGCATATCACCTGATCTCAAAGAGCACTGCACATTTTCACATACTGCAGCTGGTCTTTTTGGTTGTCAGTAATTCATGAGTTGTTGAATGTGTGCATTTACTGACATTTCCTGTAGTTTCTTTCTCAGCAGCAGCGGCTGAATCATGTTATATGCACTATGGAAATCAAAGAGGGTGATCTTCACCACGTCGCTCTCTGTAGTATGTAGATGACTGCAGATTTAATCTGTATTCAAACTGCAGAGGGTCAAGAGATGTCTTCACCCATGTCTTAGTTGGCAACTAGCCTGTAGTCATTGAGCTCTGAGGGTATCAACAGTGATTTGGTTGTAAAATCTGATTCTGGTCTTTTATCTAAGGATAGATGTAGTGGAGTACATAGTACTCAGTTCTCCTTCTAAATATAGTGTAGAAATATAATGCTGCAAAATGAAATGTTCAAAGGAAAGGAAGTAGTAGACTCAAAGAGGCTATTATTAGCGATGCACAGATTGTGAAATGTTTAAATTACTAGAAGGCCAAGAACCAATGCCAGTAACAAGATTTTATTTACTTATTTGTTTATTTATTTATTATTTCTTCCACTGTACTTCTTTTTCGATAGTACATAATTTGTTAAACACCCCGAAATCTGTCATAGCCAATCACAGTTGAGTGTTTGGCGCACATTCAAATTGAAGGATGACAAAAAAAAGTCATAAACTGACAACATACATTTTATAAAAAGCCCTTTTCTCCTTGTATGTATACAGCCAGCAGAGGACGACAGAAAGACAGCGGCTCCTCCTGTGACTGACCAATGAGCTCCCAGAACACTGAACGAGTGGGCGGGACCGAACCGGGCCAAACGCAAACATGGCGGCTCCCTTAGATGATGATATTGAGTCTAACAATCAGGACTTCTATTCACTGCTCAACGTTAGGAAAGAGGTAAGGTTAGCTTCGTGTTTATCAGTGATGTCCGACGTCAGCGGACTTTTTGCTGTGACCTCTGTGTTGGGTTTTAATGAGAAAGCCTTCTGCAGCCCGTGTGCTCTCATCCTCCAACCGAATAACGCTTCTCTCAGTCGGCACCATCGTCGTTAGAGGTTGAGACCGGTCGAACACCGGCAGGCTGTCTATCTACTTTACATGGAAGTAGGCGCTGGCAGAAATGCTACGATCGTCTTGAAGAACATCCTCTGAAATCTGAGTTTTCCTAAAAACTGGGGCGAATATGAGCTGTGTGGATTGTAGTTGCTCATCTAAGTAACATTAGATAGCATTAGGTACACAGGGGCAGACTCCTTAGCTTAACGCGTAGTGCATTATTACGCTTTTTGTTAATGGCTTTTTACTGTAAACGCCTGCTGACTGTTTTTCACTCTTGAATTTGGACGCACTAATGCAGCAGTGGTGTTTCAGCTCTCAATTAACTGATTAGTCAGTTAATTGATTGAACAGACATTAATTCAGGAGGTTGTGGCAATTATTTTCAGGCAAAAATACCCAACAGTTGCTGTTTTAATCAGTTTAATTAGTCAGCCATTCTCAGGGGTGACTCTTGTTCTGTCTCCTGCCACAGGCCACAGCTGAGGAGCTAAAGGCATCATATCGGAGGCTATGTATGCTCTACCATCCAGACAAACACAGAGACCCAGAGCTGAAAAGACAAGCTGAGCAACTTTTCAACCAGGTTCACCAAGCTTATGAAGGTGAGGAATCTCATAGTTGTAAGGCATTTAGTAGGTATAGTTGAACTTGTGAAATGAATTGTCTGTCTTCGGGATCTGCTTTCCCTCTGCTCAGTGCTGAGTGATGCTCATTCCAGAGCTATCTATGACATCTTTGGGAAGAAAGGGCTGGAGGTGGAAGGCTGGGAGGTATGTTTCCAAACATAATCTACTTTTCTTGCATTTGAGTGGTTTTTCGCTGCTACGTGCTGTGTCTGCGTCACCTGCACTTTGTGATTCTGTGTAGGTGGTGGAGAGGAAGAGGACACCGGCAGAAATTCGAGAGGAATATGAAAGGCTACAGAGAGAGAGAGAGGAGAGGAGACTGCAGCAAAGAACAAACCCTAAGGTTTGCAGCATCATAACAGCACGAAACAGCCCTGTTTCCACGTTCATTGCATTATGTCTCCCACTCTTTTCCTTTTTTCTTAATTAATCCTGTCAATCTGTTTGTCACGGCATCATTATTCAGGGCACCATCAGCGTTGGTGTGGATGCAACGGACCTGTTTGACCGCTATGATGAAGACTTTGAAGAGATGCCAGGAGGAGGCTTTCCTCATATTGAAATCAACAAGATGCATATTTCTCAGTCTATAGAGGTACAACAAACATTCACTTAGCCATTACCGTCCACCCACGTGCTAGCCTGAGCCAAGATCACATCGGTATTCTGTGCTGTCTGTCTTTCTGCAGGCTCCTTTGACGAACTCTGACACAGCAGTGCTGTCTGGTTCGCTCTCCACGCATAATGGGAATGGAGGAGGAAACATTAACATGACCGTGCGCAGGGTTATGTCAGCCAAGGGTTGGGGGGAGGTACGCACAAGCAGACACATTTACAGAGAGAAGCACATTAACGTTTTGTTTTAATGAGTAGGAACTTGTCCATCCATCTCATTATACCTCTGAGGAAGTCTGTGTGTCTATCCAGGTGTTTGGGCACATTGTCTCAGGAATGCTTTAAAGGAATTTTTTAAAAATGTAGCACAGATGTCCACCTGGATTTGAGGAGAATCTGGGTAGAATTTGGTGGCCAATGATCAAGGTCATTGTGACCTTAAATACATGCACCTTTAAGCTGAAGTGATTGTACAGATCTTCCTTGGTTGAAGATCAAATGGAAACTTTGATGTAACTTGCACTTTAACTAGTTGGGAATCATACACCTGCAAGCTGGTAATTCTTGCAGACATGATGTATGTAATGCTTAAGGTGGTAGGTTCAGTTTTTGTAGCCTTCTACAATCTCTTCTTTCCGTGCACTTGCATCTGCATTTGTTGCAGGTGGAGTTTGGTGCGGGAGACATACTGGGACCTCTTATTGGGTTAAAGGTGTTTCGCAATGTCACACCACGGTGGTAAGACCCAACTTTTTGTCAATAATGCGTCAAACTGCAAAACTGCATTCTCCTTTCATATCTCCTTTCTGTATGATTTTTTTTTTCTGTTCAGTTTCATGACGGCCCAGTGCGGTTTACAGTTCTCACCTCGAGGTTTGCGACCGAGTTGTTCTCTGATGACAGCGCGGCACCTGGATCAGAACACCATGGGTTATCTTCAGTGGCGCTGGGGGCCCAACAGCGCCATGACTACCAGCCTTGTCCGAGACACCAAGAGCAGCCACTTTACTCTAGCTCTGCAGGTACATTCAAAGATAAGCATGCACACAAAGGCTGCAGCAGTACTACGTCATTACTTTTATAAATTTGATCATTTTTTTCCTTATTATTTCTATTCTTTATTGCTGTTCTCCTGGCTTTCCAACCTGCATTGTCCAGCTGGGCGTGCCACACTCCTACCTGATGATGAGCTACCAGTACAAGTTCCAGGATGAAGACCAGACCAAAGTTAAAGGATCTGTGAAGTATGTGTGTAAAAAGTGTCCTATACATGCAAAAAATAGTTTGCTGATATTGTGTTTGGGGTCATTGCCCAGTTGCATGTTTATGCTGATATGCTGTGTTTGGTTTTATTCAAACATACAATGAAAGTTATAGAAATATAATTTTACTTTTTCTTCTTGTTAGCATAACAATATCATAACAATAGCTTATTCACAGAGCTAATACAGATTAAGACATGATCTGTAGTTGTTGCATTAATGGAGACATTATTTTAAAAGGTAATGTAACATTTAAAACATGCTGTTTTCTTACAACAGTGATCACCACTTATAGTAGCTCTAAAAGTCCAATTGTGGCCATGCTATTCTCTTTACTAGCTGCCTAGTTTCATTTATCTCCCTGTTCACTTTTGTGTCCCCGTGTTTCTAGGACAGGCTGGTTTGGCACTGTGGTAGAATATGGAGCAGAGAGAAAGATCAGCCGACACAGTATACTGTCAGCCACTGTCAGCATTGGGGTCCCGCAGGGAGTTACACTCAAGATCAAGTACGGGCCATCTACAGTGTGGTCTCACTCTACTGTGTGTCTTTGCCTCACTGCATGATTATCTTATAAGAGTGTGCTTACATTTGGGCTTATGTAGGCTGGCACGTGCAAATCAAACATACCTGTTCCCAGTCCATCTGACTGATCAACTGCTGCCCAGCGCCGTCTTCTATGCCACTGTGGGACCTCTGCTGGTCTACATGGCCGTCCACAGGCTGATCGTTATCCCGTACACACAAGCACAGAAAGAACAGTGAGTAAATGTCCTCTGCCTCAAACAGCATCTCACATTGTCCCAGCAGAAGAAACTCTTGGTTCCAGGCTTGTTCTCAAAAACTCGTAAATAAGAAAAGATAATTTTCTATTAATCATCACCTGGTTCTCCTCTACTTTTCTGTATTTGATCTATGTTTTTTTTTTTTACACTTAATGAATAGCATGATGGCCAAACTTTACACATCAGATAAAGGTGATCAACTCTGCTGTAGGGGGGAAAAAGAGCAGCATTTCTATTGCGGGTGTTGTTAATACTAGAGGGATTTCTTTCATGCTTACACTGTCATCACAGACGCCTCCAATGTGAATCCCAGCGGGTGATTGTTGTCTGTCTCTGTGCCTCTCAGAGAGCTGGAGCTGCAGAGGAAGAGCTCTGCCACAGACATCGCCAAGAAGAAGCAGGAGGCAGAGTCTGCTGTGAGTACTCGCATGCTGAAACACAGTTCTTTATTGTGTGTGGGGGATAATTGATCATTGTTTCTGAGTTCAGCTCTCCTCATTATGAACTCATGACTGAATCTCGCCAGAAAAGCTCGCTACAATCCTATCCTGATTTTGCTCTCTTTCTAACCCCCCTCTCCCCTCCTGCCTTCCCTATTTTTTTCTCCCTCGGCTCCTCTGCAGGTTCTGCTGATGCAGGAGTCTGTGAGGAGAATCATAGAAGCAGAAGAATCCAAGATGGGTGAGAGTATATACACACACACACGCACACACAATAAAATCATTGCACAGTGTGGAAAAACTGATATTTCTTTAAGTTTGTATCCACTCAAAACTTGGTAAGAATCCATATAATTGAAACACATGTCAAAGTAGCTGTCACACTACATAATGCACAGTAACTTTAGATCCTGTCTGTCTGACTCCCATAACGTCATTGCTGTGAAGCCAATCATGATGGACGTATATTACCTTTTAGGCTTGATCATCCTGAATGCTTGGTATGGGACGTTTGTGTCAGACACCAGCCAGAAGCAGGAGAAAGCCAAAGTCATCGATGTGACCGTGCCTCTACAGTGCCTCGTCAAAGACTCCAAACTCATCCTCACTGAGGCCTCTAAGGTGCGTCAAACCAAACGAAAGTTTCTTTCCGCATCTGATGTACATCTGCATGCATTTCTTTTAAACGGTTTCTCTGTGTGCAGTCAGGGTTGCCCGGTTTCTACGACCCTTGTGTAGGCGAAGAGAAGAGTCTAAAATTACTCTACCAGTTCAGGGGTGTCTTGCACCAAGTCATCTCTGCAGACACAGAGTCGCTACGGATACCCAAGCAATGTTAGTATGCGAGACTATTAAGAGTAACATTATTTACCATAGTATTCAACAGCACAGCATCTGCTTGCATCCGTGTTCAGATTACTAGTGTGTTTTTGTCTCATCAGCTCACAGAATTGAGTCCGAGTCCTAGAGGGCAGCGCTGTCGGAGTACGGCGAGGCAAACGGACTGTGTGAACAGAAGAACCCAAGAATGGAGGGGGTCACATCGAAAATAAGCTGGCCTCTCTCCTCTGGCCTTCTTCTGTTGTGACGTTAGCAAATCCGATAGTTCCTCCACTCATGTTTTCCTGTGGGCCAGCAGAATTCAGTCAGCACTGACAAGGTGTTGCCCTTTGTGTCCCCAACACCTGAGAGAGCTGCTCAAATACCTGCCTTCTGCAGGGGAGAAGACCCTACAACCCTACAGACCTACAACATAGATTTATATATGCACTACACAAGAGGGCCTGACACTCCCTAAGTGATGAGCTAAAAGTGGGGGCTCTACTTTACCCCATATCATTGTAGTCTTTGTCCTATATGTGTATCACATTGATAGTTTTGATCTAATATTGGTATGGCATAGTCATTGCAATAATTCATGTAAATGTTTCTGGTCGCAGATCACGTCTCACTAACCCCGAGGCTAGCCACGACTGAGGAATGACTAAACTCGAGTTTTTTTGTTTTTTTTTAAATTTCTCATCATCCGCTCAAAAAAAAAAAAAAATCATCCTAATTTATTTATGATTTTAGTGCCGCTATCTGCTGCTCACTGCGGTGCCGGTCGGCAGGTGCTAACTGGTGCTCTGAACTTGTATCTGTGAAGGCTGAGATGTGGAAGAAAGGGGAGGGCTTGCTCGGGGAGGGAACGCGGCAGTTGCCCTTTAATGGTAGAGTTCCAACTGAAGAGAGGGAGAGAAGCTCAAATTCCACATATTGATTTTTAATATCTATTCTAGACTGCAATTTAAAGGCAGAAATTCAGCTTGGATTTGATTTGCGTCAGTGTTTATTGATTGACTGTGTAGCTGCAGCCAAAACAGAATTTTCTATAAGGACTTTAAATACAGTGAAGGTTATAGTTTGTACTTCTCTGATGTATATCTGGAACAAATCCAGTGGTAGCAGTAAAATACTGGCATGGATTTGAAACATTTGGATTATTTTGTAATTGGTTGGATGCAAATTGGAGAAGATCAGCACTTTTGCCACATGTAGCTCATTTGCTGCTGATGTAATTTATTGAGCTTAACACGTTGGCTATGAAATCAAGCCCAGCTGCAGTCACAGATCAGATGATTCCCCCTTTACACTCCACAATTGCCATATCTGTAATAGGGCTGTGCATATGCAAGCCACTTTACAATCCACCTCTACCTTTCATGGTTTGTATTGATCTGAATTGATCATTCTTATACACTATATTGCCAAAAGTATTTGCTTGTCTGGCTTCACACACTTTTGAACAACCCGTTTTTAATCCACAGAATTTAATATGATGTCGGTCCACCCTTTGCAGCTATAACCGCTTCAACTCTTCTGGGAAGGCTTTCCACAAGGTTTAAGAGTGTGTTTATGGGAATTTGTACATTTGTGAGGTCAGACATGATGTTGGATGAAAAGGCCTGGCTCACAGTCTCCGCTCGAATTCATCCCAAGTGTTCCATCAGGTTGAGGTCAGGACTCTGTGCAGGCCAGTCAAGTTTTTCCACACCAAACTTGCTCAACCGTGTCTTTATGGACCTTGCCCTCCCCTCCCCACACTGTTCCCACAGAGCCCTCCACCAAACTTTACACTTGGCTTGATGCAGTCAGACAAGTACTGTTTTCCTGGCAACTGCCAAACTCAGACTCGTCCAGTGGATTGCCACATAGAGAAGCCTGATTCATCATTCCAGAGAACACGCCTCCACTGCTTTAGAGTCCAGTGGCAACATACTATACACCACTGCATCTGAAGGTTTGTATTGTACTTGGTGATGTAAGGTTTGGATGCAGTTGCTCTACCATGGAAATGCAATCTGTAAAGCTCTCTACACACTATTCTCTAGCTAATCTGAAGGTCGTGAAATTTGCAGATCTGTAGCGATTAACTCTGCAGAAAGTTGGGCGTCTCTGTGCACTACACACCTCAGCATCTACTGACCCTGATCTGTGATTTTTATGTAGCCTACCACTTTCTGGCCGAGTTACTGTCATTGCCAAATGCTTCCACTTTATTATAATAACAACTATGACAGTACCACGCTTGAATTCACTGAGCTTCTGAGAGCGACCTGTACTTTCACAAATGTTTGTAGAAGAAGTCTGTATGCCTAGGTGCTTGATTTTATACGCCTGTGGTCATGGAAGTGATTAGAACACCTAAATTCAATGATTTGAGTGGGTCAGTGAACACTTTTGGCAATATAGTTGTCAATAATATCTACTCTATTTTGTGTCGGGGTCCTTCTGCTGCTCTCTGAGGTGGAGAGACCGTAGAACAGAGGCACATGTTTCCATTGACTCTAGAGGTTTTGGGCAACTGAACCGTAGCCTCACCAAAACCACAAAGCTATATTGTCTAAATTAGGTGTTACAGTGTTTTAGTTAGTCATATTTTAATTTAATACTATTCTCCCTGAAGCTTTCATTGAAAACAAATCAGACTCACACTCATTTTAAGCGACACGCCACTCTATAGTTGCAGAGGGCTTGTATTACTATCGTTTAGATGATAAAAATATTTTTCTCCCTTATTCACAAAGCGTCGCCACTGCAGGTAGCACCACAAAGTTAATTTGGCAGATTTTCACACCACCTCAATTCCTCGGGGAATTCCGACACATTCCCCAAGGGATTTGTCTTCTCTTAGGACTGAACCCGGGATCTTTTGCTTGCAAGGCGAATGTGTTCTGAAGCCACTTTATGTGGTCATACATGCACCAATTCTCCTTGGCTGTTATTTGCTCCTCTTAATGGTGAGGGAAAGGCAAAATATCCTATGATACACTTAACTGTTGAGAAATTGGTAGGTGATGTAGCATAAAAGTCCCAAAGATTTTAAGATTAGTTGCACCCTGCTCCTGTTTATTTTGATCAGACTCCCTGTCCTAAACTGTTATTTCTATCAGTAATCACAATAAGCAGGTTCTATAACTACAGCAGGTTGTGCAGAAAATGCACAGCATTTGGAACAAATGTCAGAGGATGATTGTCACCAAACCTCTAACTGTGGTACACTTTTACTAAACTGGAGTTTGCATTAAGAAATACTGATTAATGCAGGTGACTTCATATGGTGTCCTTTTGATTTTCATTAGTCCATTTCTATGAATAGCATTCACATCCAGAAGCTGTGGGTAGGCCTGAAATAATAATAATAATAATAATAATAATAATAATACGTCAAGCACTGACAGGGTTAGGAGACATCAAGTTTTGGTGTAGAGAAAGGGAGAGCTGTTATACTGCTCTTTGGTTGGGATTACTCTTTCAGCGTCCATTTTGCACTAATTGTTTGTAGTATTTGTCTTATGTTGTTTTAAGTGTGATGTAAATGTTTCTTGGTCAAGTCATCTGTCACCTCTGCTCTGGTGCCACCCTGAGGCCTGCAGAAAGAGTGCTCCCTGCTGTTACATTCCAACCCATCATCCAAACTGACTGGCCGTAGTATTTAAATGTTATGAATGGTTTCAGGAGCCCGTTTTTGTGTCCTGTAAAGACAATAAACATGATTAAAAGATGTTTGGCATTTGATTACACCCTCCAGAGTCACAGAATACACTGAAGTTTTATACCTCACCCCGCTAAAAAGAAAAAAAATCAAGTTAAAATGGTAACTCTTTATTTACAGTAGTTTACAATAGTTTCACAGAAACAGTGTGCACCACAGAACAAACGCTTTCTCAGTAAGAGGATAGAACAACCCAGGTTCAGATTAAACAAGCTGTATCACAATGAGCTCCCCCCTCCAACATTAATTTACACTAATGTCTTTAAGACGCACACTCAAAATTATGAGCTTGTGTCTGAAGGCGTCTTCAGATTCTCTTCAAGACAAGCATGTCCTGAGAAACAGCAAAAGTGATTTTAGTTCTTCAAATGTCTTAAAAACATAACTTAGGCGACTGCTGGGTACAAACCAGTTAACCCACATTTGTAAATACCAGGAGAGTGCACAGATGAGTTTAATCGTTCAAACTCTTGGAAATTCTTGTTCTTTACACAAAAAACCCCCCAAACAAACATTCTTCGTCTGTTTTAGTCATTCCCTGGTCAACTCTTTGATTCTGCATTATAAAACCCCATCACAGACAAGTATCCAAGAATCTGAGTCTAAAATCTGTCACTCTACAGTATGGCTTTTATGCATTTATTTATATATTTATATTTATGTATATATGTTCAGAAACACACAAGTCCCAAAAGCAGATGGCACATGAATAACAAAGCTTAAAGTTTTTTTAATCCAAATGGTAGCAAGTTTTCCATCAATGGTACTCCACATAGAACCGAATACTGCAATGCAAAAGTTAACGGGAGGCGATTACTCGCTGAGATCTGACCTTCTGCTCTGACCTTCCAGAGACAAACCACCACTACCATGGTACTAGGGGTGCACTGATTTGAAAATTCAGAATCAATACAGAATAAAAATCTGACTTCCATTTTTTTATGTTGTTTTTTTATTATTATTATTATTATTATTATTATTATTATTATTATTATTATTATTATTATTATTATTATTATTATTATGCATTACTCACTTTGGGCCAGGATGACAAATGAATCGTTATAACAGGGGAAGAAGAAAAAAAATCTGTATGCTACATGTCAGACGGCAAGTGTAGACAACAGCCCCGATTCTCACAACGTTGTGCAGAGTTAAAAGTGTAAAAACAACTCAACAGGGCCAACATGGGCCAGTACCGGTGTGTTGCTGACACATCAGTGCATCCCTACTTGATGCTTTGCAAAAGACTTGAAACCCCCTCCCCCCCTAAAAAAAAACATGGAGATTGGTTCAGACAACTCATAGCAGCAGATGCATCGCCAACACCCTTATTTAAACGCTTGCGTGCATAATTTCAACCGGAAATCTTCATTGAAAACTGAAGATTTCTGGTCTGACACCATTCCAGTTACAGATACCCTTTTTTCACCTGTCAGTACTGCAAACAGGACTGTGGTTCCCTTCTATAAATATATTTGTCTCTGAAAACTTAGTCAAGCGCATCAAGTGGTTAACTAAAATCATACTGACCAGATATAACAGGATATACTGAAAACCTGACTTTTGTCATTTGCCCAATTTTTCTTTTTTTCTAAACTGTTATATAACAATTTCTTTATTAGGAACAAATGTGGTCAGCGAAGAACACTGTTTAAACACGTTGAGAAACAAAGTGTGAAAGCTTCTGTGTATGGCTGAGTAACGTGTTGATTCAGAGGAATACCAGTGTCTGGAAGACAAGATCTTGGTTCAGCTGTATGAGCTAATGGCCTCAATGATATTCTTGAAAATGTCTTAAACAAGAAAAGCAGAACAACAAACTGATGATGCAGATGCAGACTCTAGCCTCTTATCCTACATCTTTGTTCTATTCGATTATACCTCAGCTTAATACTATAGCACCATCTGAAGCAATTGACACCAGCCTCAACTTGTTTTCCTGTTTTAAATGGTTAATTATGTAACATCAATAGAGGCATCATAGAGAAATTAAATCCAGTTTAACCAGATCAGAAAGACACACCCGTCTCTGAAAGAAAGGTTAGGTGGATTTTTTTTTTTTTTTTTTTAAAGTGCAAACCATTTTTCCCCACAAATCCCAGCATGCACCATAGTGGGTGGCAGTTGTGAGAATTCTCTCAATATGGCAGTTCAAAATGCTTCCAGTGTTCACGAGACACCAAGCCCCAAAAGTAGCGGTTTGTTGCTATGCTAATGTCATCTACAGACAGACATCCATTCAGTGATTGCCTTACGCGCAGAGTCTGTAGGAAGCAGAAACAAACCTTAGTAAATCTAAAATAGCACTCAAATTGTTCTCAAATGGGATAAGGGCTCGGGATAGGTCCACTAAAATGTTTGTAGAAAATATGGGTTCATGGTTGAACCTTGAAGGAGAGAGACTGAAGGGTGCAAGACCTGAATCTGAGGAGGAGGGGCCAGTCCAGTAGAGGGTTAAAGTAGGAGCGGTACGGATCAGAGTTCAGGATGTGGCCTGGGGTCAGTCCAGCATGTGTTTGCGTGGGCCTACACGCGAGCGGTGGGAACGTCGAGTGTCTGGAGGTCCGTGTGTCTCTCGGCAGCTTTGGCACACGTATGTCTCTGGCACGTGACTCTTGCGGATCTTAGCGCATGACAGGTGGATCCAGGTGTTGCACTTGTTACATTCGATCATGGCGCGTCCCGCGAAAGGCTTCATGCAGAAACATGTCACCAGGTCCCACGAGTCATCATCTGAAAAGAAAGGAGACAGAATACACTGAGCTTCCACTTTATTCATTCATCAGTTTTTTAAAAACATTTAAGCATTTCTGACCCCAAAATCTCTTACCAGAGTCTACCATTATATCCTCATCCTCCCCTGAGCCATCTTCGTCTCGGAACACCACCTGCTTTCCCTGGCGGAACACCGTTCTGTTTCCTGAAAAGCCCTCCACCTTCTGTATCTTTACCACCCCTTCCTCAAGGTCTCGTCCGTCCCAGTATCGACGCTCTTCCTTGGGTTCCTCTTTGCAAGGGGACGGGCTAGGCACGCACTGGGGGTGGAGGGGAATGCTGATGTCATCTTCTGGCTCTTCTTTGATTGTTCGGCCGCCAAAGGAAAGCGGGCACTGCAGCTCTGGGACTGCTAAGTGAGCCCCACGTTCTTCAACAGACTGATGCTCCCTCTCCTTCCTCCTCTTCTTCTTCTTCAGCTTGTCAGCTTTCCTGCGATCATCTGGATGCAGGGTAGTGATTGTGTGCTGCAGAGGAGAAAATTTAATATCCATTTGAAAATTATAACAAAACTTTTACCTGGTCAGATTATATAAGGTTGATGATGTGACATACTGTAAATCCGTCTTACATCTTTCTTGGCGTGGCTGGACAGAATGGATCCTGGCTGTGGACGCTTCCTGCTCCTATCCTGGGGGCCCTTCAGGGGGCGTTGGGGGCAGGAAGATGCTGGTCCTGGGGTCCAGCCATCACTGTCGGCTGTGCTGCCTGTACTGTTCGGGGGGCTTGAGCTACTGCGCAGTGGAGAGTCCTAAAATAATAAATGGAAGTGCAGGGGTTAATTCACTAACATAAGGAGATGAAGTAGGCTACTAACAGGTAAAAAATTTATACATTTGCAATCACATGACCATAAAAATAAATCCCTGAAAGGAAAGCGAACAAGTCATCTGTTGATGGTGAAGAAAAGGGAACTAAGTCATCCAATGTTAGTTATGATAAAAGAAATTTCACATAAACCAGAGAGAGGGATGTCACATTTTATTTTGGTTTTACAGAAAATAGCACTAAAAACAATGCTCTACTTTAGTTGCAGCAGTGGAGAATAACAGAACATTTGATGCTATCAAGGGTGTGTGTCACTTTACAGGAACATCTCTACCACCTGGTGCTTCTTATCTAGTCTGAATAAAAAAACCAAACAACAACAACAACCCCCCCATTGCGTAACAAAAGATACACTGTTATCAAAGGATGCAGCTCTACATCCTTTGATAACAGGACATGGCTTCCATGTTCTAGACAGTGGAGGAGCATGTGTTAAAAAACAAAAAACAAACAAACTGTAATTAGACTAAAATGAATGTTTTCAACAAGTTAAATGCATATACATGTGAATGAATGACCAGCATGAACAAGGCTACTTTCCATACAACCTATTCAGTTAACCTAGTACATAGTAACATCACAGATGGCTGTATGTGTGAGAGAATAAAAAAAAAAAAAAAGATATATAAAAAAAAAAACCCGACAAGGGCAAAAGAGACCCATGTATTAAGCCAAGAGTCCATGTAAGTGCAAAAAGAAAAAAAAGAAGATAAAGTTCTTAGTTGAGTATGTGTAAAACTAAAATAAACACAGGCAGAGAAACTATAAAGCCAAAAGAATCTGTTAAAGTAATCTCCCTGTCTGGCCATCTCCTTTTTGGTCCCCAAGATTAGCAGAAGACGATAAAGTCTCATGTCCAATTTAGCGAGTGAATAAAATTCAAGAAGATAATAATAATAAAAAAACAATAATGAGTGGCAGCAGTTGCATTAAGTCATTTTATAACTGACAAATAGACCACAGGTTTAGATTACTTGAAGTTAATCCACAGCGGATATTCAAGATCATCTGTAACTGATCCAAATAATTTTGTCAAAGAGTAGCTCCGGTTTTAGAATAAAGCTCATGATTAAAACAGTCCCCCCCCCCCCACACACACACACACTCAGATAACCTCAGTGACAGGCTTTGGGTCTTGATTATTTATCATTTTTACAAACATTTTGATTCTGTGTAGATTTCACTTCTGCTGGTCAAGACTAAATATTTTCCTACTTTGTATGGTTGTTTGTTTACATGCGGAAATATAATGCAACTATGTATAACACAGGCGATGCTCCTGATTAAAACATTTAAGAGACACCGTTATAGCCCAACTAGACAGATGCTGATGTGAAGAAGAGTGCACAGCCACCGACCGCCTGGTTTTCTTACCTCTTGGGGGTATGGGATGTAACCGGCATATGCCAGAACAAAAGTGCAAAACTTGTTAAAATCCTCCACTGTCCTCCTCCTCCTGTACGGCGGACTGAAACCCTGAAACACAATCATGTTACTGAAGCATTAGCTGCAATAAACCTGCACTGCCAGATATGGCGTTGATATGAACGACGAGTGATCGCCACACATCCTCTATTGTACACGGTGGGAGAAACGGCGACTAACACAGGCAAAAGTTTGATTCACTACGCCCACGCACACACATATTTATCTATAGACATGAAAGTGAACCTTCCTGCCAACCCCCACCGACAAACCCAACTAAAAACGACAGCTAATGTTAGCTTGGTCGGCTAGTGGTAGACCGCAAATAACTCACTAGCTACTGCTAACCAGCTAGTGTCACTATAGTTCAATTAACGGACAAAACAACGAAGCCGCGCGGTAATACATATTACAGACTATCAAGGAATAACAAAGTGCAACAAAAGCATCATTGTCTGCCAGCTGTTACACTGCGAAAAATCCAGATGGCGTGAATATGATGGTTAGTCAGCTAGCTTTAATGTTAGCATGCTCCGTAATGATGATGGAATGTTTTATTCTCCATGAAGCATACAGTAAGGCTAACTCGCAGGTTTCGTGAAGTACCGTTTAAAGTGGCATTAATGACTCATTTTCATGCGACATGTAAAGTTTTATTTATAGAAAGCTGACAGCTTGTTCTAATACCGCGGGAATGTTTGGTGTGTATAACTTGTCAAATTTTTCCACTGGCTAATATTATATGTCAACATTAGCAGCAGCAAGCTAACGCTAACTAATCAGCAGCTGCTAGTCACACTGACAACCTCAAATAAGTTGACATTTGCTAACGTCGCTAGCCGTGACTGCAAACTACTCACTGTCAAACAATTATATAAAACACTCACCTCCGACTGAAATGCATGGGATGTCGATGGGTTTATGTCACCCATCTTTACCGAGTAGCCGACAACCTGACGGCTTTGGCGATAACCTGGCAGACTGTCGAAGCTGGCAATCCGATGGGACCGTAAACACTGAAGTTATTTAGCTTTTGCTTGCTAGACAGCTAACGGTAACGTTACCTATGCTAAAACTCGAAGCAACAGTGTTAACTCAGTTTGCCACAAGCAGCAACGATAACACTACTTGGACTCGCCTACAAACGCTAGTCCTATCCGCTCAAAGTTATAAAATGTAATCGCCGACTATCAGCAAACGTTACTATTGTATTTCCATCGAGCTGTCCGGCAATTTCTCCGTTTGATCCAGTTAACAGAGTGCTGAGGAGGGTGGGGGAACGGTACACTTCGGCTGTCACCAGCTGCCTGCCCCTTGCTGCTTCTTTTTCTTCTTCTACTCATTCAAAGTTATTTATTTAAGGGAACGACGTTGTGGATTAGCGCCATCTTTGGTCAGTAGTGTGAAGGGATAAAAGCAGGCCTGCTTTAAAGGTCTCCTACATTTTGACAAATTCTCTGCTTTGGAAAATATGCATGGAAACTCGAAGGCCCTAAACTAATCGATCAATACTGACAAACAGTTTCATAAAAGCGAGGCTTCATTATTTAGTGAGAAACATAACAGATAAAAGCTCAGGGGTCGATTCCAAATGCTGGACTTGCATTTCGATCTTTTCACTGGAACTGTCAGTATGTCGTCTACAGATATGTTGATGTAAGTAATGGGATGTCATCATTAGGGCCAAAATAAACTGATCACAGACAAAGCATACATTTTTTTGGAGTGACAAAATCAACAATCTGGCAAACACTCTTAAAAAGAAGGAATGCACTGAGCTTTATATAAGGAAAACCCTTTAGAACATTTAGCCCATTGAAGAACACCTAGTTCCACAAGGCGTGTCATTGTCATTGTCAAAAACCGAAACATTTCAACTTTTTTTCTCAAATTATTATTTTGACTTCAATCTTAAAATTGCTTAAAATAACATTTCGACTGTAATCTCAAAATGGCAACTTTTTTTCAAAATATTATTTCGACTTTAATCTTAAAATCTCGACCGTAATCTCAAAATTTTATTTTCTCTTTAGTCTTTATAATCTGTACTTCTAATACTCCTTGTAGATTGCGCGCTGTCAGAAGAGGGCGCTAATGTAACCCACGAAATCCACCGAAGAAGACTTTTCCTACAGGAAGTCGCCTTTGTGAAATTCCGTTTGTTTTCTTTTGTTTGAGCGTGTTCACGCGGATGAACTCAGGCGTTGTGTAGATAATAATAGTTCAAAATGTCGAGCGTTAGACTCCAGGGCTTTCGGAGCTTTTTGACTGAACGCCTCACCGCCGTGGCCATGGAGGTGTTTGGTGAAGTTGAAAGTATCGTCGTGGAGTGCTGTGAGGAAAACAAGCGCCTGCGGGACATTCTGCACATGGTCCTCAACCCCGAGATAAAGTTACACAGGATAGGTTTGTTGCTTTTGGATCCTTGCGTTTCCAGTTGACTGACCTGTATTAGCTACACTTGAAGAGGAATTGTTAAATTAAAGCATTGCAAGCTTAATGCGACACCGTGTGTAAATACTGTAGGACGTGTGTGTGATGGGTGCGTAATTTAATGCTTTAGTTAGTTAGTTAAGACTAATACTAAAGGGCCCCCTCACATTATAAAGCTGTTAATTAACTTTACCTCGATTGGCCTTTACCACTAAACTACTGCGGACATGTTTCATAGGTAGTAACCCATCAGTCTAACACATACAAAATGAGCAGTACCAGGTAGGACCCCATTTAACCTTAACAGAAATGCTTTAATTCTTCATGGCACGGATTCAGTCAAGTGCTGGAGATATTGATCCACAAAAATACGATAGCATCACACAGGTGCTGTTGTTTGTCTGCTGCACATCCACGTTCCCCCTTCCACCGCATCTCAAAACTGCTCTGCTCGACTGAGATGTAGTGACTTAAAAGGCCGTTTGAGTGGAGTAAAGCAATTGTGATGTTCAAGAAACTAGTTTGAGATCATTTGTGTTTTAGTACTAAGATGTCTAAAACTGCGCCATGAAACCGTTACATCCCCACACGGTTACACCACAACCAGCAGCCTGAATCATTGGTACAAAGTAGGAAGAGGAACAAATAAAATACTGAAAAAAGCCAAACAATAACATTTTTAAGTTATCTAAGTGACTTATATATCATGTTTAACCTGAGTAGCGAAAGATGGCGGTGGGTTTGAAAACGATTTCCGGTTTTCTCACCGGCTCTAGTGAGCCTTGAACCCCCCCTCCAGCTATCGAGCTGGTGGGGAACTGATGTCTCTGAAATGACTAGTTGACTAATCGTGGCAGCCCTAGTACAAAGCATGATTTGTATTTGGATGTTGGAACAGAAAAATAATTTTTTCCAGTCTTCTGTTGTCCACTGTTGGCTAGCCTCAGTTTCCTATTATTGACTGATTAGAGTTGCATCTAGTGTGGTCTTCTGCTGCTTTAGTCCAGCTGCTTCAGGGTTTGATGTCTTGTGCGCTTACAGACACTCTTCTGCATACTGAAACTCTTGTGTTGAAGAGCTTTTGATCAGGTGTACCTAACTGAGTGGCTGGTGATTGTGAATAACTCAATAACAGCTGTTCTGCATGGTGACTATTGATTCCCCCCCAACATGGTAAGAGTCTAAGGATAGTTGAGATAAACTGTTTCCATGTCTTATGTGTTCACTGACATGTCCACGTTGACATGTTAAAAGAATCTCAGGTTAAGGGGCAAGTACCATGACTCAAACTAAAGCAAAACATATATGATTACTATGTAATGTATTAGGGCTGAACGATATATCGCATTTGCGATAATATCGCGACATGATCAAGTGCAATTTTCTAACCGCAAAGGCTGCGATTATACTCTG